AGGCGAGCCCAGGTCACAAATCGCTCCCCCGGACGAGGGCTGAGTTTACACCTTGCCTCCAACAGACCGGGGTGGGGGTAGCAGTGGAAAAGAGGCACCGATAGATTTTGGACCAAGCCGGGGGCTCAGAGCTTGCAGGGGGAAATGTACAGGAGAACCGGGGCAAACCACGAGAAGACATAATTTAAAAAAAAAAAATATGTATTCGGTAAAACCAGATAATAGCTAGCATCGCCCAGATGAGTGGAGTACAAGTGATAAAGCAGCAAGGAGAAACTCTGCAAGAGATGGTTAGATTTAAAGGCATCTCAGCCCCCATTCCTTAGGGATACAGCACCTCAAGGATTGGGCTCCCCCCAGCTCAAACACGTGATAGAGGCAAAGAAAAGGCAGAGAGCCACCCCCACTCTTATCCCTGGCACCACCACATTTATTAAAAATTACTACTATGTACATAGAAAAAGAAAGCAGAACCAAGTTTCATGGGGAGAAGTTTGTGTGCCAGTGCTCTAGGGCTGATCAGTTTAAAATGGCTGAAACTATAGGTAAGAAGAGTGGGTAAGTTACATCACTTCCAGTTTTGTACAGGGCAGCTGAAAAACTCACTTTACATACACGTAAATAGAAATCTCTTAATATTTTTTGCAATGCTCCATATGCTAAGTTCGATTAACCAAAAAAAACATGCCTTTTGAACTTCAAAGCACCACCGGATGTCCTTCTGACTGAACAGCTATAGGTCAGATATTTATATATTATTCCACAATATTCTACAGTGTACCTAGACAAAACACAACTGTACACTTTGTTTTTGGCCACCTCAATAAAGGTTAGGCTTTTGGGATGGAGGCATGTTTTTATTAATGCAAGTTCTAAACTAAGAAAAGTCAGATTTGGTCATTGTAACCCCATCATTAGCCACAAGACCTTCAAGTCAAAATCCTGCCTGGTAAGCAGGCCTTATTTTGGCCATCTTCTGCCAAAGAAAGCCTTAGCTGAGCAATATCCAACTCAGCCAACTGTGCTGCAGACAAGGGTTGAAGAAGCCAGCTCAGTCCAAAGCAGAACATAGCATTTGTGCAGCAGCTCCCTGCAACCCAGCTCCCTTTTATCAGAGGGGCAGGCAGAGAAGAAAATTAAATTTGGGATCCTACCCCCCTATTTCCTTGCTCAGGAGTGCATAGATTTGATCAGGCCTCTGAGCCAAGCCTAACTGTACACTTTAGTGTCTCCAATAAATAAGCCACATTGTAAAAATCTAGGCTCCTGCTTACAGCTTCTGCATGTGGTTCCTTGTAAAAGAGGGGAAGAATTCTACCCTAGTTTGCTCTTTCAAAAATTTGTTACCTGCAACAGTCAAAAACCTTTGGCACCTTCTTTAGAATTGCACAACAACAATTCAAGGTGGAAGGCAAAAGTCTTTTTGGCAATTGTAATGCAAAAAAACCAAGGCCACCCTGAAAAAAAATGAGCCAATTGGAATAAAAGGATGCTTTAAGAACTAGTATAGAACGCATAGTAGCCCATGCCTTTTGAAGTGTCTTTGCTATAGTCCTCAGCATTAATGTCCTCGCATTTCATAGTCGGGGAATTTTCATTGCTGGAAGTGCTAGGGGAGAGCCGTCTTCTCTTACAAGCACCCGTGTAGACCCCAGAATCATTTGAATCTAGAGACTTTATGGAAGGTGGAGTCTCTATCCAGGATGAGCCGATTTCTTCTTTCACCTTCTCCTTGGAAAGCTGGTCTTCAGAGAAACCTGGAGGACTTGTTCTGGAGGTCCAAGGTAATCCTGTTGTCATTTTTCTCTGGTAAGAGCCCCTGCTCCCCCAGCCTGCCATGGATGGAAGTGTCGGATCAGGGTAGTATCCCAGAGCATGGGATGTCTGAAGGGGGAGAGATTTAATGCCGTAAGGGAGCAAGGTGCTAGGAGAATACTCCGTCTCGTAGGAGTTCATGTCCAGTTTGTTTGCACCAGGCTGTTGTACAGGCGTAACAAACCACCGCTGAGGAGGGCTGGCCACCTCTTCGTTCTGCTGCGGGGAGAGCAAGCCATTTGTCTGAGGGACGGTTCTCTCACTGTTGTAAAACCTGGCCGGGGGCAGGTTGTTGACAAACTGTTCTTGGAAGAACGGTTGCACGCTGTATCGGGCGCCAGGGACGATCTGGTGGGATCTAGGAGAATCCGTGGGAGATGGAGTTAATCTGTCATTTTCTGAAGCTGTGTACATGCTACAACATAAAAGAGAAATACTGAGCATTGTCCTTTACAATTCCAGTGTGATAGTAAAATACAAATGGGAAGAAACAGAGTTATTTCTTAATTAGAATCACAACTAGGTTTAACTGGATAGCTGTTAATTTTTATACAATTTAGGAGTTGTTTGTTTTTCCTAGGCAGTATAAAATTCCTAGTATTACTGCTATACATATACACTGTTCTCTGCCAGACAACCCATTTTACATGAGGTGCAGCACCTTCCTCCCAGAAGCCATACTTGCATATATGCAGCTCCAGTTTTTCAAAGGCCATTTGATGCCAGAAAGCGAGCATTAGGCAAGGTTTCTGCTGACAATTCAAAGAAGCTGCCTGCTCTGTGGAGATACCTGATATACCATTCCCAATCTGCAGGCCAGCTAGGTTCTGCCAGTACACAATTTTCTACTAAAATTCAGAAGCCTGCTGGAAGACAGGTCATCAAGACAATACAGTAACTATTCAAAACAGACATTCAATGTTTCTAGACAGACATTTAATGTCTTTGATAGGAGCACATCAGCTAGCAAAGCTGCCAGCAGAATTATTACTACTTCTGAATAACTGAAGTAGCTTCTAAAGAAAAACAACACTCTTGCACACACATTTCAGGTCAGAATCATGCCTCCTAGACAGAGACAGCTGCAAGAGAAGACAGAAGCATACTTACGAGTCATAGTTGTCTCTGAAGCCTTTTGCAAAAGGATTATGGTCAATTTTGAGCTGGGTAATCTAGAAATAAAAGCAGAATATAGTAAGATGAGATGAACCTACAAGACAATTCTTAGTTGTCATTTTATACATCCATGCTTACATCAGTGTTTTGATACGCTGTAACTGCTATGAACTGTGTTTCAGGGAAAATAAATGTTTGAGTCTTCGAGGAATCATTCAGATCTTCAACACCATCTTCAGTCACTTCCACAATGTGAAGCCGGGGCTGGTACTTGTGTAGAGATTGCAGTACTATCATCTAAAGAGAACCATGGGAGAGAAGATCTTTAGATAAACACACATCTAACATTCAAAGATCTATTTAGTAGCCCAACATTTTTTTCCTGTAAATTATAATCTTTTGACTTGGGAATGGAGCAATTTTAACTGTTAACAGGAGATGATTCACAGCTTATAGCCCTGTTTTGCTAAGTTGCTAATATGCTAAAATCTGCAAATGCAGGAAAACAAGAGCTATCAGCTACACTCCCACTTCTTGAACAACTCTGGAGATAGATATATTGGCTAAAGACAAAGAAATTCACACACCTACTTCTGACACTCCTTATGAAGACAACTATGAAACAAGATCTACAATCCAGTTCAAGAGGGGAACAAGTCACATGATCAGTGATCTAGCTGCTCGATCAAATGCTGTAAAGCCCCCAAACCCCAGGGCACCCCTGGCTGAGCCACTAAAAGCCCCTCAAGCCTGCCTTCCTTCCCCCATTTACCTGCGCGTTGTTGTTGTTAGCACCTTTGTTGTTCGTTAGCTTCAGTTTCCCGAAAGAAATCTCCTGCCTCATCCAGTGAGCCCCGGTGTTTGGCGACTCGGGGTGAACGTACACCTTGTTGCCTGGGGAAGATAAGCACGTAAAGCAGCCACCGGGCGCGGACGCTTTGTTCCGCCGCCGGCAGCACGGAGCAGCGGGGCAGGGCGGGCAGCAGCGCCCGGGCAG